TCCTATTTTGTGACATCGCATGAGGTATCATCTAATCTAGTATATACCTCCTCTTTTCACAATATCAATCTGCATGTATATGTGTACATAGTTAAAATAGGGGATAATCTAGCGTGTTTAAAAGTTTATTAAGTCTGGTCGGTTCTGGCATGCACATACTCTTTTTAGTACAAAAGAATGCTACAGCAATGAAATAAAGGCCCCCCAATATTTGACCCAAAAGTTCACAAAAAGATGCAACTGCACACAAAAAACCTATTTGCAAATTTGCAAAAAGAATAATTGCACAAAAGAGGCCCAAAGACAATACCCAATGTCTGGTATAATGATAAGTCTTCATGCATGCATTTGTGTGGTATTTATACATATTTTGGATCATCATTGTAAGGCTCTTTGTGTTGGGGAACGTAGTAATTTCAAAATTTTCCTACGCACACGCAAGATCATGGTGATGCATAGCAACGAGAGGGGAGAGTGTTGTCCACGTACCCTCGTAGACCGAAAGCGAAAGCGTTATAACAACGTGGTTGATGTAGTCGTACGTCTTCACGGCCCGACCGATCAAGCACCGAAACTATAGTATCTCCGAGTTTTAGCACACGTTCAGCTCGATGACGATCCCCGGACTCCGATCCAGCAAAGTATCGGGGAAGAGTTCCGTCAGCACGACGGCGTGGTGACGATCTTGATGTTCTACCGTCGCAGGCTTCACCTAAGCACCGCTACAATATTATCGAGGATTGTGGTGGAGGAGGGCACCGCACACGGCTAATAGATCTTAAGGATCAATTGTTGTGTCTATGGGGTGCCCGCTGCCCCCGTATATAAAGGAGCAAGGAGGGAGAGGCGGCCAATGGGAGGAGGCGCGCCCAAGGGGGGCAATCCTACTCCAAGTAGGATTCCCCCCTCTTTCCTAGTCCAAGTAGGAAAGGGGAAGGAAGGGAAGGAGAAGGAGAAGGAAGGAGAGGGAGGAAAAGGAGGAAAGGGGGGCCGGCCCTCTAATCCAATTCGGTTTGGGCTAGGGGGGCCGCGCGCCCTGCCTCCTCTCTTCCACCACTTGGCCCATGAGGCCCGTTACTTCTTTCTCGTATTCCCGTAACTTCCCGGTACCCACGAAAATACCCGAATCACTCGGAACCTTTTCGATGTCCGAATATAGTCGTCCAATATATCGATTTTTACGTCTCGACCATTTCGAGACTCCTCGTCATGTCCCCGATCTCATCCGGGACTCTGAACTCCTTCGGTACATCAAAAATCATAAATTCATAATATAACTGTCATCGAAACCTTAAGCGTGCGGACCCTACGGGTTCGAGAACAATGTAGACATGACCGAGACCAATAGCGGAACCTGGATGCTCATATTGGCTCCTACATATTCTGCAAAGATCTTTATCGGTCAGATCGCATAACAACATACGTTGTTCTCTTTGTCATCGGTATGTTACTTGCCCGAGATTTGATCATCGATATCTCAATACCTAGTTCAATCTCGTTACCGGCAAGTCTGTTTACTCGTTTCGTAATACATCATCTCGCAACTAACTCATTAGTTGCATTGCTTGCAAGGCTTAAGTGATGTGCATTACCGAGAGGGCCCAGAGATACCTCTCTAACAATCGGAGTGATAAATCCTAATCTCGAAATACGCCAACCCAACATGTACCTTTGGAGACACCTGTAGAGCTCCTTTATAATCACCCAGTTACGTTGTGACATTTGGTAGCACACAAAGTGTTCCTCCGGCAAACGGGAGTTGCATAATCTCATAGTCATAGGAACATGTATAAGTCATGAAGAAAGCAATTGCAACATACTAAATGATCGGGTGCTAAGCTAATGGAATGGGTCATGTCAATCACATCATTCTTCTAATGATGTGATCCCGTTAATCAAATAACAACTCTTTTGTTCATGGTTAGGAAACATAACCATCTTCGATTAACGAGCTAGTCAAGTAGAGGCATACTAGTGACGTTTAGTTTGTCTATGTATTCACACAAGTATTATGTTTCCGGTTAAGACAATTCTAGCATGAATAATAAACATTTATCATGAAATAAAGAAATAAATAATAACTTTATTATTGCCTCTAGGGCATATTTCCTTCACTTTGTGCCATAAGATTGGGGTTGCCAAATTCTTATGTAATCCATTCATGTGCCATACATACCATGGGACTCCCAACTTAATGAACAACAAATGTAGTAGCGCAGATCTAAAATTTAAATGGACAATACTTAGTACCGAGTGAGATTTAGGGCATTGTTGGTTGAGTGAGAATTAACAAACATGGTTTTTTATGCATGGTTATCTTTTAAAATTTTTTGTAGGACAAGAAAAGGCGGGAGTTGTTTCAATGCTGGCACATTATAAGAAGATATTTCTATGATCTCTATGATCAATTCTACATAGGGGAACTTTGTTTGCAAAGCATCAACATCTGTTTCATCACTCTAATTCCAAAAAAATCCAGGGGCTTCAGGAGTCAATGAATACATGCATATTTCACTCCTCGACTGCACAATTAAGTTGTTGACCAAGTTATTGGAAAATAGGCTTCAATCCATCATTCTTCGGCTAATCCATATTAATCAGCATGGCTTCATGAGAACAAGAATTATTCAGGTTGCATTGCTTGGGCATAGGAATACCTTTTTCAATGTTACTCAATAAGAAACCCACTATGGTGCTCAAACTGGACTTTGATAAGACCTTTGACAAGGTTGAGCATGGAATGAACATGGCTATTCTCAAGCAGAACGGGTTTGGCAATAAATGATGCAATTGGATCAGCCAAATTCTATCAATTGGTACTTCTGTTGTACTCCTTAATAGTGTTCCAGGAAAACAATTTGTGTGCAAGAGAGGAGTAAGGCAGTGTGACCCCCTCTCTCCCCTGCCTTTTGTTATTGCTGCAGATTTTCTTCAAACTATTCTCAATAATGTCATGCAAAAACAGTTTACTGAGCCACCAATATCCCCTACATCTTGCCTTGATTTTCCAATCCCACGGTATGCCTATGGTACCCTAATAATCATGCAAGCTTTCCCTAATCAACTGCAACACTTGGAGAGGCTGTTGGATCTCTTTTCACATGCATCTGGCTTAAGGGTCAACTTTCAGAAATCAAACCTGCTGCCTATCAACATCCCACAAGAAGAGATACCGAACCTTTGCAGCATTTTAGAGCGTCAAATTGGGACTTTTCCATTCACATATGTAGGTATGTATGGAGTTATTTATGTACATTATTGAGAGGATTTAGAAGAGAATGAACTCTCGTCCACAATTCTTGAGCTATGATGGCAGACTATTGATAGTTAATGCAGTACTTTCATCACTTCCAAATTTTGTTATGAGTTGTCTGCTTCTCTACAAAGGAATCATACATCAAGTAGACAAATATAGGAGACATTGCTTTTGGAGGGGCAAAGACTTGGAACTTAAAGTCTCCACCCCTTGCTACCTGGGAGTTAGTATGCAAGCCCAAGAATGAAGGTGGATTGAGAGTGCTAAACCTACACACTCAAAACATTGGCCTTTCAGTAAAGATGGTGCACAAATTCCTAAATCATTGTGACCTTCCTTGGATTCATCTAATTTGGGAATTCTACTATCCACATGGCGTCACCTCTGCAACTCCTTCTCACTGCTCCTTTTGGTGGAGAGATTGCTAAAAGCTTCTGCCCCGTACAAGGAAAATGCAACATGTTTGATTGAGGATGGCAGTTCAGTTGCTTTCTGGAGTGATAGATGGGACGATATTACTAAAACGCAACTCTGGCCACATCTATTCTCGTTCTCTACGAACAAATGGATCTTCTTACATGCTATGGGTTCCTTGACAAACATTTTATGGCACTTCCATCTACCTTTGTCACAAGAGGCTTTTGATCAATATCAGAAACTGATGAAGCTTCTACAGAATACCCATCTAACACAGACAGAAGATACATGGCAACCATATGGGGCTGTAAGATTTTAGGTTTCTCAAGCATACAAAATTATCACTGGTCATCGGGATTTCATTCCAGGACTGGCATGGATCTGGAAAACTTGTTGTCAACTCAAAGACAAGATTTTCTTCTGATTGCTTCTTCATAACATGAAAAACACAAGACCCATGCTACAGCGGGAAAACTTCTTCATTCCTGATTATACTTGTCTTTTATGCGGCCTACAGGTGCTTGAAACTAGGGATCACCTTTTCCTACATTGCCCATTTACCAAATGTTGTTGGACTTATTTATGTCCTACATGGACTCCTACATCCCCGGGCATCCAACACGAGATCAACAACTTAAAAGCCCTCCTTTGTGTTCCATCCTCTCTGGAGATCATCATCCTGCCTTCTTGGGCTATATGGATGGGAAGATAGCAGGTGATACCGGGCGTTAGGTGATACCGGCTCCCGAAAGCCATTGGATCTCTGATCCAATGGCTCCCGGGAGCTCTTGAACATTTTGCAAAAATGTCATCCGAAAGTCTTCAAATTTCACAGATTTCAAAGAGCCGTCGGATCTTAAATCCAACGTCTCAGAAGCCCGTATCACGGTATCATCTAAGTGCTGGTAGCACTTGATATTTTCCCCTATATTCTTGTAGGAGGATATTTAAAGAGATGCACTGGCTCACCTAGAGAGCAACTAATCTAGGAACCTGCGAATAATCCCTGCATGAGGAAGCCGCATCTACTCCGCCTGTTAATTAGGCCGGGGAGTAACTACCCCTTCTCTTCTCGGACAAACTAGTGTCCCTTTGTCAGCTCTGCACTGAACTCAATACGTCCAATTATAGGTGAGCCCCTCCTACCAACCTGACGAGGCGCCACTCACTTCACTCCACTTCCCCTATAAACTCCCCGCAGCATCCACCACGCTCTCCCTCCATTCACCGCGCACAACCACCTCCCCCACTCTCTCCAGCCAAGCTGGCTAGAGAGCGAGCCCAGGGAGCTAGCTGAGCCCGCTTCGAGGCAAGAATTCAAAGCGCCATGCTGGGCTGCTTCTCCCGGCTCCGGCGGCCGGCCTCCGCCGCGGCCGGGGCGCCGGCTCCCGTGCAGCCGCCCGACGAGGCGTCCACGTCGGCCTCCACACCGGAGACCTCCCCGCGCTCGTCCTCCTCCTCCGCCCGCTTCAAGAGCGCGTGCCTCCGGGACGGCGGCAGGGGCGGGGACGTGGATGTGACCGTCGCGAAGGAGTGCCCGCCGCTGTCGTCCATGCTCGCCGTGGACTCCGGGCTGTCGTCGGCCATCGCGTCCCGGCGGTTCTTCCTCGCCTCCCCGGGCCGGTCCAACTCCATCGTGGACTCGTCGGCGGCGCACGCGGCCGCCGTGCTGGGCGTGGGCGCGGCCGGGGTGGCGGTGCCGACCTACTCCCCGGACCCGCACGCCGACTTCCTGCGGTCCATGGAGGAGATGTCGGCGGCGCTGCGGCTGGACGCGCGGCGGCGCGGCGACCGGGCGCGCCTCCACGAGCTGCTGCTCTGCTACCTGGCGCTCAACGACAAGCGCGCGCACCGGTACGTCGTCAGCGCCTTCACCGACCTCCTCCTCCGCCTCACCGCCACCGACGACCTCGACGCCGACGACGAGCAGCACGGCAGCATGTAGCAGCCGCGCCGACGTGCCTGCCTGCCTGCCTGCCTGCAGAGCTCAACACTTTCGTCCATTATTTCTCATATTTTTTCGGGTGCAAGATGCTGGTGCTGTGTGCTCAGTTCCCAGCAGACAGGCCATGCATCTGATCTGACTGTAAAAAGAATTGTTCGTGTGCAATTTCGCGGCAAAAAAAGCCGCTTTGTACCTTTGTGTGGGCGTTGGCTGCTTTTGCCCTTTATGAAAGGCGTGAGCGTGCTAGCGAAGACGGGGAATATCTTAGCTTCCACAATTGCACCGCTTTGTTTCTTTGTGTAATTGCGTTTGTCTTTTCAGCCACCTCCCCGCGCTTTCACCTTTAGCTTTGTGTTGGGGCATCTGAAGGCTAGTTTGGTACATGTCAGGCATGGTTATGCCGTGACCATTGCTTTGTACGTAGACACGTAGTAAATGTGAATGCAATTCTGTCATTTTACTCTCTTGGACCGAGTAATTTTGGGATCGCCACACACCTTGAGA